ATAACGGCAGGAGTCGTATGTAGCCCCTTTTTCGGCCTACATACGTTGGGCCCGAGAGTTACATACGTTCGGCCCGGTGGGCTTTTTGAGGTGTCGTGAACTCGCGCGCGCCCACGTTACAGGATCTCTGATTGGGCTTTAGAGCGGCCGACGACGTCCGCCCGACGTGACCCCAGGTTCGAATCCCAGGCATGTCATTTTTCCATTATTCATTTTATCATGCGGGCTGTACGGATACCAGTCGACAACTTAGTGAATGTTTCGAGCTCCCTGAATGGCATCGTCAAGCAGCAATGTTACATCTCTACGGCGAGCATTGACCCAGGCAGGCATCTTATGGACTATCATGGATGATGAAGATACTCTCAGGGAGAGGCTACAAGGTAGTTCGTCATGGTTGCCTTTGGAAAGGGCATTCTCAAATACTTCAACATTTTCAAAGCTTGCTGTGAAATGAACCGGCACCTGTATTAAATTATAGGGGGAGAATGATTACTACGGGAATTTGCCATACAGGTCATCCTGGGGTAGAGTTGGGTCCCTCGCGTGATGAGAGTCGGTTGTTATGCAGCCTAAGGGAGCTGACAATTGTCGTATCGGATGCTGCAGTTAACACTGACAGGGTAGACATCGAGGAGAAAATTACTCAGGTACTGCTTTTAATGGTGTAACCGCGACCGTTCATTATTCACGTTGATTGTATGCTGAGTCCTTGCCACAAATTCATAGTCAACATTGCTGGGTATAAATTCGATAGTGGTAGTCTCGAGGGTAGATCTCCTTGTGATGCATAGTTGGTATCATCTCAGTTCCACGGCTTTGTGGTACAGTTTGGATCGACTACGCTGCTGTCAGGATAGGCATCGATATCTTGTCGGGAAGGGGCGGATGCGGCGGTTCAGACTGACTCTGGTTGGGAGGTGGATAGACTGAAAACGGAATTGGCATTTGAGAGGCGGCGGGTCATCAACTTGGAACGGTAGTACATGAGGTGGTGCCTATGGGTGGTGTAGTGGTTAAGCTGTCGGTCTGCTCATTGTGAGGTTGTCGGTACGAACCCTTGTCACTGTTATTTAACATTACCAATTCAAGTGAGCATTCGGGTCATAGCTGTGATGAAGAGGCGAACTCGTCCATCGGCCCGAATGAGCATGAAAACTCGGATATTTTCCTCCGGTTTTAGTGCAGGATTTAGGCGTGACACGTTGGGGAGAGTATCATCAATTCCAACCCCGACCCATGCTAAGGATGCTTATGTATGATTTTGTCCCGGGAGTCCTGTGTTTCGCGTATAGGTGTAGATTATATCGCCTGAAAGTTCACACGGTGGCGAATAGTAAGAATGTATCTCTTCTGCATTCACGCAGTGAGTACACCTTCCCATTCTCCACTGAGTGGTATAAGCCAACCTGGATTCAATATTCGCCGCTGGTTGGTGATGTAGATACTCTTACGAGAGTGGTGGTGTCTCGGCTTAGGTCGGAGGTTGACCGATTGGACTTGATAGCTCGTACGACTACCCTCGAGATGGAGGTACGTCGTTTGGAGCAGCTGCTTGCTCATGATCGAGAGTCTCGATTCGAGACTCTCATTGCGTCATGGAGACACAGGAACACAATGGACAGAAAGGTAATGATAGCTCTGGGGTGAAAAATTCCGGCGATTATGTTCTGAAAACGTCGGGTGGGCTAGCTGATTGGTTATCTAATCAGATCTCGGTCCAAATGCTCTGCCATGTTCCGTACGAGATGTATTGGGTGGAGCTGGGCCCTCGGTGGTGATCGCTATAGTGGTAATAAAATTTTCCCGGTTTACGCTCTGATATTTTCACACGCAGTGATCAGTTCAGGAGTGATTGAGGAGGTTCTACTGCGGAATCAAAGGTTGGTGGTATGTTAGGTGGAGGGGGTGAGCACAGCATGTGTTAAGTATGGGGACTATTGTTGGGTGGAGATAAGGTTGGCTTGTGACACGGGTAGGCTGCTGATGATGCTAGCGGCGGGTAGAACTCAAAGGGAGAGGCAAGATGGAGGAAAGGAGTTGGTATTTGGCGGAGCGAAGCTTGAGATGGCCTGTCGACGTAAGTGGTGACGTTAAGTGCAAGAATCGTTCTTGGTTTTGCCGACCAATTCTTCATCAGCGGATTTGAAATGTGTGGTTTTTTTCGAGTATTAGAGGAGATCGGAACGATGATAGCTATAGTGCACAATTATATTCAGTCCTATCGGGTATGCCGTCAAATGGGGAAACATTGAAGATGTTAGTTTGTGTATGGGGTAAGTCCGGGGAGGAAGGGGAGGTCTATTTGGCTGAGAAGTCGGCTCGATGGGAGCTCATCTCGACTCATGATGAGGAAAGAAGGTGAGAAATTAATTGTGGTCGTGGTGGTTGCATAAAATCAGTAAGTTTCCGCCTGAGGAGATCATTAGTTGGCAATGCGAATAATTGTAGTCATAGTGGTTGCATAAAATCAGCCAGGAAGGTAGTTTTCGCAGTGGGAGTCGTATGGCGAATAATTGTGGTCGTTCTGGTTGCATAAAAGTAGCCGAGAGGTGGTATTTGTACAGTACCGTGCTCAAGGTACCCATTGGATGGAGGAGGATATCTCAAGTTGGGTAGTGTGACTGCCAGAGTGACATGATTCTTATCTTAGTGGTTTTGTAGTGATGGTAGTACGTTGTAGACTTTCGAGTGTATCAATTCTCCCTACAGTTATTGTTTGTCACTATGGCGAATGTGATCGAGCGGATCTATAGTTGAGGTTGACGGGAATCGGTAGTAGTGAGGAGCCTATTGGCTTTGAAATTATGATGTTTTCCACAGTGTATCATTCACGGTATTGTTTATCACATCAACTGTTTTCTTCCACAACACGGAGAGTAGCAGAATGTGTGTTAGTGTGCCCTGTCATCGGAAAACTTTGAGAGGTTTATGGAAATGTGAATTTTTTTAGATTTTACTTGGAGGTTTGTACTCGGAATTTATCGGCTTTGTGGTTATTCATCCGGAATTTTCATCATTAACTTCGGAAAGCATTTAGTTAGACTTGGTATTATGTATTGGAGTTTCACGACCGTTTTACGTGAAGTGGCGTCGTAATACTCAGTGGAAAACGCGATATTCGCGGTGATATGCAGTAGTCGTGAAATATGTTTTCCACTAGTGTTTTTCATATCACTAAGGCCGCCCGTGAAACTCCATTGTTATTGTTAGTCGTGGATTGACTGGTTGTGAGCTACTTTGAAATGTGTAATTTTCTCCGTACGATCGGATGTCACTTTGACGGAATTATCGTTGCTATTGAGGCAGTCAAATCATAATTGCTACCTATTATAAAGAGTGAAGGATTACTTGCTACCTCACCTATTATATTACCACACTTACCACTACGAGTTCGTGATTATCGAGAGGATCGCCCCAGAGATATTCACCAGATGATGGTAAGGAGGATTACCTTGGTAGGGCTAGTCCGCCTCGACAGGCCCACGATCGATACAGTAGTTTGGATTTTCCCTATGAGCGTGATGACCATGACTATCATCATGATGATGATGGCGCTGAAACTTGGGTTGGGAGGATGTTGGGCATGTTGTCATTGATAGGATTGGTATTTGCGCTACTACTTATTATGAATTATGTGTTCGGAGATCTCGTCGATCTCTACTTTTTCCGTCCGCCGGAGTTCTCGCTGGACCGACCAAGATATGATCCGAAGCGTTACAAGGGTCGATTGAAACAGATTGTGGTGAGTGAACAGCAACCAGGCTTGGTAGCTTCTCAACGATGCATCTTGCGGAATTGGAAGTAAATAGCATTATCATCATCATTGATGTTATCAGACAATGCTCGATCCGAGACTCCTGTTCAAGACGGATGAAGATGTGATGGCGGCGAAGGAGTTGTTGCAAAGGTTAACAGATCGGTCATCGTCAGTGTTGGTTCCTGAGTGCTATGTAGAAGTATTTCGTAGTGTCTTGGGAGCCCCCACCACACACGCCCTGAAATTGAATTTACGTTTGAAGAGTGCTCGTAGGTTGTTGTTGTTGTTGGTGACACAGTGTTGGATGAGTAGAGCTGTTGAGGTGGAGGTGCCCATAGGGAAGAATTGGAATTATCAATAGTCTCGAGTTCCAAGTGGCACAACTCAGTTGTGGAGAAATTATTTTTTGATGCCGGAATTTTTTGCTACTGTTTTTTTGTTAGGTTTCGTGATGGGGAGAATACTGGAGCTAATGATAAGGAGTTGTGGGCAGCACGGAAGCTGTGTGAGGCAGCGATTCATCCGATTACCCAGGGTAGGATGCGAAAGGAGATTGAAGTTTCGCTTGTTTTACGTGAAGTGGCGTCGTAAAACTCGGTGAAAAACGCGATATTCGCGGTGATATGCAGTAGTCGTGAAATATGTTTTTCACCAGTGCTTTACATATCACGGTCCGTGAAACTCCATTGATCGAGAAATGACGATGTCCATTACGAATCGCATTGCAGTGAGAACGATTTTTTTGAGAACGGGTGGATTATTTCCTACGGTATGGGAAAATCCATGGAGTTTGGGCTCATCCGGTTTATCCGATGGACCGAAATTGGTGGTTGTATTGGTATTGGCGAAAAACTCCTGATGACGTCCTCTTGTGTTAGAGGTGATCCCTCCATATGGTCGGATGGCGTCCTTTGTACCGATCAACGTACCCATTGTATTGGGCATGCTCACTATGCATTCAACACCGGCTATAGTATTCTGGCAATGGGTAAGCAGCAGCAGCAGCAGTCGAGATTCATATTGCTCTTGTTCACTCTTGGTCGCTGGTTGGATGTAGTATGTTCTTCTCGAGAATGTAGATCCTGAATATTTTTGGTTTCCGAAGCTGAGCTCAGAAGAGTTTACATACGAATTTGGGTAGAGGTGTACAGAAACCAACAAGAATCACCCGAAATTTCCTAGAATTTCCATGTTGTCGTCAACATATATTTCCCCTACTTATGTTCAGGTGAACCAAAGCTATAATGCTGTGTTTAATTATTGTAATCGTAGTGGTATGGAGATGACGACTGAGCAGCAAGCTGTGTCCTATGTTCTGGCTACTGGTAATGACTTCTTCTTGTTGTTGTTGATTGTATCTGGCTTCACTGAGGGAGAGGGAAGTATGGAGTAGATAGTGTTAAGTATGATTTTATGATAACGATTATTACATAGTCTCATCATAGTGATATGAGGACAATACGTATTGTGGTCCGTACTGGTCGTGTACATACACATTAACAAGTGTGATGAAATGACGACAAGAAGAACTCTTCACATGAGGTTGGTGGTGAGGAGACTTGATATTATGATTATAAGTAATTACATGAATACACAAGGCATGAAATTTACAAAATTCAGTCTCGGTAGTCTTTTT